GAAAAACATCCACCCTAGCTGGTTCCGAGAGCGTTCGCGGGCAAAGCTCTTCTACTTCCTCCGCACGGGTGCATCCCCGAACACTACGTCCTCGGCTTCACGCGAAACACAACCCAAGCCCTCGGCAACCGAGCGCCACACAATCAGCCCGCCTCGGAGACGGATTTCCTTGTCGAGGATTCGAAAGAAGTCGACTACGAGTCCGATACCATGGCAAGACGAGGAGGAGGAGGTGCGCAAACGGCGAGACGTGAGCCCAGCTCGAACTTTTGCTGACACTGTGTCTGTTCCCCGACATCTCGACTTTCGGGAGAAGTGGTATTGAAGCAATCGCCTCGACGAAGCACAGAGGCAACAATTAGAGGCTGCTCGCAGGGCTGATCTTCTGCGCTTGTATCCACGTTTAGTCTTAGACCCCCGTGTGGAATACGGCTTCCACTCGGCGGACCGCGCTACAGAAGCGAAGGACGCGATCACTCGATCGTTAGGCGTCTATGTAGTCGCGTTCCCGGCCACTACACAAGATAAGCCTGACCAGCGGAAAGCTTTCCGCGCTCGCTTCTTAGTCCTCATGAAATCCCAATTGGATAGGTACTGCCTTGACTTCGATCTCATAAAGGAAGTGCCCCGCTACACGCAATGCGATATGTTCCTGTGGTATTCGTCTCTGACGAAGCTACTACAGATGATGATGAGCTCTTTGAGCCATGTATGCAGGACCACGGGGAGTTACCTTGCTGTCTACCTTACAGCGAACACACAAAGAAATGGACGTGCGCGGTTAGCGCCGTCTCCGATTTGAATTTGCAAACTCAGGTCGCAACGCCGTTTTCCTGTGTATTGTCGCCATGCTACATATGGAATCATTTATCTTGCTCCCGCAAGCTCTGTGGTTTCTCGCACAGGAGAGTCTCCGACCACAGCAGCGCAGGGCCGAAGCTTGAGCACAACTCGTGGCCCCCCGGCTTTCCGGGCGACTGATGAGAAGCGCAGTGCGCGCGGCGATGCAGGACGTCATGCTCCTTCTGATCATAAGCGTCAACAACGTCAGAGCAGTCAAGCCGAAGTGACACATCAAGCTCCCACAAGTTATCGTAGTATTCCCGCTACTTCACAAGATGTTGGGTCAAACCCCGTCGACGACTTCGACCCACAAGGCGTTCCAAATGGTAGTGGACGCCACCATTCTCATTATGAAGAGTCGTCGGCAGCGGAACCTGGTCGATCGCCGTCCGTTGACTCGCGATGATCGTCAAGCATTGGAGGACAAGATCCGTCGACTTCGGCAGAATGCCGAGATCGTCTACCGCTGTGCGGCGAACCTCGAAAGCCTGAAGCTCTCCGTGCACGGACTACCTCATGTTGAGGATTATTGTGCTCTGTCAGAGCGGCTCCTAGCGGCCTTTCTCATGTTGCAAATTTCCATGTTTTGCTCCTTGCCGTCAAACCGGCAAATACATCACTTCGTGCGACGTTGGAACGCCTTGCGCCGCTGCATACGGATATTGTTTCACTCTGTGCTTAGAACCAGTTGCTAATTTAGCTTCTGGGTGGCTGAGCGCCTTTGGGCGCCGCCCCGGCGCCAACGCTTCTGCGTTAGCTTGTGCCAGATCCCGGTTCGGCTTAAGTAAGCCCTCAAAAATCATTGGGTGGGCGCGCATCCTTCTCGGAAGGTTTGGCGTATACACAAGGTCTCGCTTGGTCACGACCGTGAAAGGTCTAATCAACCGTGGACAGAGCATTGTGTGAAAGACAGCAGAGACTGCATGTGTCGGAAGATTTTTAGCATTTAATAAAACCAGGTCTCCGACCTCAATGTTTCAACATTTCCTCTGCTTCTTCCATCTGCATATTCTTTCTGCATGTCTTGGCTTTCAGTCATCGCATCGTGAACATGTCGTAGGACACTCGGTGTGGTAGACAGGAAGTCATCGACTTATGAAGGACAGTGAAAGGTTGGCATTAGCTAGCCGTTCGGCTATTCCTCCCTCACCAAGACCTGCGCCATGGGATGACGGCGTCAACGGAACGCAAGGATTACCAAGCACGTTCGCATAGAACGGCGAGTAGCCGGTAGATGGATGCACTGCATTGTTCGGAGGATCCTGTAAGAGTGGCAACCTAGCGCTCCAGCGCTTCTGCGTCTCAGCTCCGACGTTGCGAAGAACGTCTTCAGCGATTTAATTGAAGCACTCAGTTTGACCATCGGTCTTCGGATGGCACGCTGTTGACATAGTCAGCTTGGCCCCCAGCATTCTATAGATTGTATACCAAAACTTCCCAGTGAAGAGCTGGTCTCTATCAGAGACAATTAACTCCAGGAGTCAGGGTTGCCGAAGCACACGATCTACAGACAGCGTCGCTATACCGACATTGTCGATGGTGTCCGGTACTGCCGCCAGATAAGCCATCTTACTCAAACGGGCCACAAAGGCCACCATACCCGTGTTGCCTGCCTAGTCCTTCGTCAGGCAAAGCACAAAGTCCATACACATGGGCTGCCAACACCCGGAGGGTGCCAGTAAACTGGCCAGCGGCGCCGCCGCATTCTGAGATCGTTTCACCCTTTGTCTCGTCTCACACGTGCGCACATATGTGCTTGTCCACTTGTACAGCTTGGACCTCTAATAGTAAAAACTCACCGAGCTTTACGTCTTCTCACGGCCGAGATGACCACTAAGTGGGATGTCGTGGGCCTCATAGAGGATACGGTATTTCAAATCCTGATCGTGAGGAACCACAATTTGTGACGTATCCGTCGAATCGGTGCTATAGTACAGCAACCCGTTATTCATAAAATATCGGTGCAACCGTGCGCACAATCGCGCCGAGTATTTTCTGTCCGAGTTTCCAAACTCTGTGCTTCCAGAGCCTGTAGCAGCGCTACACACATACCATCACCCGCGTATACGGCACGGGTCAACTCCATCACTAATGACGTCACCATCGTGACATGAGCACTCTCATAATCCGATCTGCGTGACAACTCATCCTCAATTTCGCTCTTGGGAGATCAAATGAGCATATCCTCAATGGGTTAGTGAAGCGGTCTCGTTGAGTCAAAATTGTATTTATTCAAGCTGCACATAGAAACTGTTGATCTTGGGCTGATCCGACATGCTTAACAATCTGATTTGTATCGTAGAGAGCAAAGCAAATATCGTTCGCATAGAGGCTATACTATCGATGAGAGAATACCGATGAGACACCTACCATGGAAGGCTGTTTAAATTTCAGCCTGAACGAAAATTCACATACATAGACATTTAGGAGGTTCGTTTCGTTAACAACCTCGGATGGTTAAAAAAGGTAATTGCAGTATTTGGTATGACGTCGTCGTTTGCGCTTTAGAAAGCAATCTAGTCTCTTTATGGCGCGTCCAGCTCCTGGTGGTAAGGTGCATATTTACGTGTGTTTCATGGCGAGGCATCGCAACAATTTCTGATAAAAATGGCACGGGGTGCCATGTCCGTGCTACGGCAAGCCTAGGCGCAGTGATTGCTTATTTTTTGGGAAACGGCTAACTGTTTACTCCGGATGAGGGCTGTTGTATTTATTTGGTATTAGCGAGTCTCATGGACTTTATTCATTGGGGAAATCCTGGTATCCTCATCAAAAATATCTTTGAGCACGTCAGTCACAAAGGTCGCTCTTTAGCGGAAACCCGTTGAGCAAATTGCTGAAATGTCCCAAAAAACCTCCCGGTGCGATTATACTCAATAGAGCAGACACGATGAGGTGAACAGATAGAGAAGAAGTCCAGGCGCGGTGGTTGCACGTAAAGCATTAACTTTTGCGCAGTCCACAATTTCGCTAAGGGGTGTTGTTAGGCAAGTACGAGGAAGTGCACAGCAAACCCCGCTTCAGATCGAGTATCTGCAGCGATGCTGCCGTAGCTTAGCGCTTGTGGAAGCGTAATTTAGGTCACCGACCTTTCGTTCTTTACAAGAACCAAAACGAGTGTAGCGGATTGCATCCGCTAACTCCAAGAGTAGTTGCTACCTTGACCAAGGCTAATAAACTCTTCGGTTTAAATTCAAATCTTATTTTTATTTATTTTTATCTGCGGCTAAATCGCCTAATTTTAAATGTATATATTTTACTTGATACATATAGTAAAATCCAAATACATGCATAACTACTGGCTACCTAGCACACATACCGTATTCTTGGTTGGGTGCAGTCACACCATGCACATGTTGTACGTGTAACCCCGTTACACGAGTTGGGTAGTTTTTGACGCCATTCTGAGCAACTTGAAGCCTATGCAATGTAAATGCTTGATTGCTCTTTTGGACTTGGACTGGCGGTTTGTGGCTTCTTGTCATCGTTGAAGCATTTGCGTGGAGTGACCCCAGTGCAAAATCGCCATGCTTGGCAACACTACGAAGCAAAACTGGTATTTTTATACCCATGAGGTTGAGCGTCATGCGTAGAGGGCGCGACGCTGTGGCTGAGAGCCAGGATTCACGCTAATGACATAAGCGCGAATCAAATCTGCGTTTCTTATTGCAGACGTTGAGCCTCAAAGTTTTTTCCTGGGCAAAGTGTAAGGCATATTCTGTTGGGACAGATAATTCAGCTTTGAGCTTGCTATTCCAAAGCTTTTTCTCAGTCGAGATTAAAGCAGGCGACAGTTTGTTGCATTAAAACTGGTTATGACAGTTTGAACCTGCTGTCTTTAAAGCAATTTTTTGTGAAGACAGTACACAAGTAGCACCTGATGATACTAGTACCAGTCGTGATGTTATGTCTGACAACTAATCTTTCTCGCCATAGTATTATGTAAGCTTCGCAGCAGCGGCAGTTAAAAGATGAAGTGACGTATCTTGGTCGAAAGAAGCAGCAGCATGCTTCTTACAATTACAAAACACCACTGTCATCGCGGCAATATAATGACCAATTGGTAATCCATTAGACTATTAGAGAAGAACTTGCTGCTATGCTGTTGAAGTGTTATTATGTGAAAGTAGTATATGTCAACACGCACGTCTATCATTTCAAGCTACCGACTGCAGCTTGGCTTGGTGATCAGAGCGACCGCGCTTAACACAATCCTGAAATCGGCGCTTCAGCAACTTGTCATCTGGAGCAAGTTGCATGGCGGCCCACATGGCGCAAGCAGCCTCTTCGTACAGTCCAAGTTTTTCAAGGCACTGACCTTCACGATACAGTGCCTTGGGCCAATCCGGACGTAGTTTCTTTGAGATTCGCACATCGTGTAGGGCCTGCTTCGCATCATCTGCACCCAAATGAGCCGCACAACGATTACTGTATAGAGCCGCGTCGGTAGGTGTGAGCGCAATAGCTTGTGAGTACAGATCAACAGCAAGAGCGTACTCTTTCGCCAGGTAGGCTTTGTTGCCTTCATTTTTAAACTGAGTTGCTTCCGCTATTTGCTCTTCAGTGTTTTCGGTACGCTCGGGAACTGCAATATCTTCATCTTTAATCAGCTCAGCAAGTTTCTTTTGATGCTGAGCCTCTAGTTGTTCTTCTACTGTCTGAGGCTCAGTCACTGCAGCATTTATTCTAGATTCTTTCTTCTTTGCAGCTTCTTCGTAGTATGCATCTAACTTTAACTTTTCTTCAGCCATAAAGTTGTCAATATCAACATTTTCAAAACCTTTCGTAAAAGGTTTCAATAGTGTCACAACCTCGTGATGTCCCATCCCGGCAGCAAGTTGTACTGGTGTTGCCCCAGCATCCGAGACAAGGTTCGCAACCTCTTTCGTATCTTCTGGACGACAGAGTAAAAATGTTTTGACTACTTCAGTAAATCCTGTTTCGGCTGCCATGTGCAATGCCGTCAAACTCCCCTCCATGGTCAGAAACAGCGAAGCGCCACCTTCAAGCAATTCCTTCACCACAATGGGTTTGTTCATAAGACACGCAAGCATTAATGGTGTCACTCCACCTGCATTTGTCACGTCGACTTTAGCCCCAAGACGCAAGAGTTCAGCAACCGTCTTCTCACGATTTTCACTCACGGCAAAGTGCAATGGTGTACCATTCTTCGTCGTAGCTTCCAATTGAGCTTTATGTTCGATCAATAGTTTAATAGTCCTAATAGAACCATTAGCTGCTGCTTCGTGCAAGGCTGTTGTACCGTTCGTCATGGTCGTATTCGGGTCAGCAAAATAAGCCAGAAGTAATTTGACCGACTCGAATTCATTTTCTTTTGTAGCATACAAAAGCGGCGTCGCACCTTCTTCGTCTCGGCATTCTATGCACTCTGGTGCACGGTCTAAGATAAATCGTATGACTTTGCGACGTCCTTTTGCGGCTGCAAAGTGCAATGCTGTGCGTTTATGCGCATCTTTAAAGTCCGTCAGTGCTTCTTTAACATCAGTCACGCCCATACTTTGCAGTGACTCAAGCGTAATTTTCAATTGCTCCAAGTCGCCATCTAATGCAAAGAATCATAATAATGTGATCAATGTTATTACTACCACATTCATAAATTACATAACTTACTTTCAGCACTTGATAGCAATTGACCTACAACCTTTTTCTGCTGTTGGTACTCGGATGCACCTTCTTCTTTCTCTTTTGCTAGCTGGTTTGCCATATTGGCCGTCATCGGATTTCGCTAATGTGATTGCCACTCAAAGTCCATCACAATAAAGCTCTTATGTCATTTTTCAGCCAATTAAATTTATCAAATGTTTTAATCTTAATAGATAGTAGATCAGTATTTCATGTTTAAAGAATGTTAAGACTTGTCGCTCTAACGGTGGCATCGCTTCCTTTTCTCTAGTGTTGATAATGATCAGCACTTCATTTTTTGATCTTAACAATTGCAGTCATGTCGACAGTTGAAGGCGAACCCCGCACTGTTATGATTCCCATCGTAATCATCATCTCAGTATATCATCGACATAGTTTGTAACTGTAAACTCTTGTTTGTCAATACTTCTACTAGGCTGACGGAACGGAAGAGATAGAGGCCATCGGGATTGCTGACGTTCTTACGCGAGGTGGAATGATGGTGACATTGGCCAGTATCGGTCGCAAGTTGCAGAATATTGTGACGATGTCGCAAGGTACAAAGGTACAAGGCGACATCGCGATAGAGGCTTGCACAGAACTATCGTTTGATCTTATCATGTGTCCTGGAGTAAGTGTAGTCCTTACGTCAATGACAAGAATCAATAATAAAATGTTTATACGTAGGGACCTGGAGCTCAGCATTTGCATGACTCGTCTGAGCTTATCAAAATGCTAACGAAACAGAAGCATCAGGGTCGATACTATGGTGGCATTTGTGCAGCACCTGCTGTTGTACTACTTCCTCATGGACTGTTAGATACTGGACCGGCCACGGCGTACCCAAGTTACGCGACTAAGATGACAATGGTTGACTATAAGCCCAATGAACGTGTAGTGGTGAATGGCAAGTGCATTACCAGTCAAGGCCCTGGAACCGCCATTGAAATGGGGCTCAAGCTTGTAGAGTTGCTTTGCAGTAAAGAAAAAGCAAAGGATGTGGCTCAGGCTTTGGTAACGTAATCGTTTCATGGAAGAAATTAAATTTTTCACAGAGATAGCAAGTCAAAAACGATATTTGCACAGATATTATGAAGTAAGAAAACTTGTGTTAAAAGATTTTCGAAGAATAAAGAAAAGTAAGGGTGAGATGATTTATCGGCATCGAGCTCGAAAAACGGTGTTTTCAAGTACATAAATCACGAGTAAAGGAGTACTATCTTTACATGTTGGCACCTACCACTTCATGTAGCCAAGTAGGAACCTAGTTATAAGAGTAATTGTACTCCATACGGACAAAAATGTTTGATCATATCCTAAGGTTCATCACCATAGGGAACATAGTCCTGTTGATTGAATGATAAGGCAAGCTACCACTAAGAAATCGCGTTGAACTAAAAACTATTTTGCTCTTAGTTTGGTGATGACTTACTTTGCAACCAGGTATTACAGCATTACTCTTTCACGAACAGTGGCATTTCAAATGATTCCAGTAACTTATTTCACCTATCTTTCACTTTGATTCGGGACTATTTTGACATTCTTGAGATTCAAATGCTAACAAAGCAGTCAAAACGTTGCAATAGCAATTCGACGCCTTTCCGACGTCCTGAATTCAGTAAAACTTGACGTGAACGTTATATATGGATGTTTCCATGAGCAGATCATAACTCTTAGCTTCAATAATACTTAGAGCTGTTTGTGAAATTAACCTCGTTGAAGTCGCTAGGGATCATCTGGAATGTTG